CTTGTTGCAGTTGTCATTGTTGTTTAGCAGGCCCCGGCCGGGTTCGAACCTGCCTGCCTCATGTATATGGCCAGTGCCCTAACCACTGAGCTATGGGCACCGAGCCATGTTGGTAAATTTTTATGGTGCCCTTAGGCTAAAAGAAATAAAAGAACAATTCTATTTACTAAGTAATAAGATGCAAACAACAAAATGTTAGTAGCTTGCACAGTATCCAACAAATATTGCTCCGTTTCCTTCAAAAACATAAACTACCCACAATGCTCCTGTGAGCTCAGTGTGGTACCTGAGGGTGACTTGGCACACAGTTTGGGAATAAGGACTTCTTTATTTTGGGAGTGGTCCAGTTGCCGCACACTCCACACAACACTCTCTTTTCTTAATTTTCAGCGTCTACAGGAATTACCACAGACCCTCCTTTTTCTACTCTCTTGGGGGCTCAATTCAGTTCAGCACCTTGACCTTCCTGCTGGCCAACTTCAGCCGAGGACGGGTCCCCATCACCTCTGTATCAACAGTTCTACCAGCAAGTTTGGAATTTGTCTCTCACAGAAGACAAGTCACGGCATTTTCTCATCTTTATCATGTACCATCATCATTCAACTCAAAAGTGTACACTCCTTTTGACTTTCCTCTTGTACTTTGCGCCTTCAGTGACTCACGGAGATTTGTTAATTTCTCCCTATTACCGTGGATCTCGGGGCTTTGTGTTAACAGCGCCCTGGTGCAGATTCTCACTGCCTTCAGTCCGGACTAGGCAAGGCAGTGTTATGCACTCAGAACTGTCCAGGCCGGCACATGCTTTTACACTTTTCCTCATGTGATTCTTGCATCTCAATGACATTCCAGTGTGAATAGGAGACAGCACAGATACAGACCATTCATATGTTTGGGAAAAGTCCCCGGAATTGTGCAGCTCTAATTCTTCTTCTGAGGGATTGGGTACTATCTCCTTTCTTTTCTAAACCAGCCTCTGGTGACTCTCCCCTTTGATCCCTCAGATAACTCCAGGCCTTGGTCCCTTAATTGGCTTTTTCTATCATTAGCAGATGCTTGCCTAATAATGTATGTAAATTATTAATAATTATTAATAAATGTATGTAAATAATGTATGCTCCTTCAAAGGATGTCACTATTGTAATCTCTCTTTTTTACTTTTTTAATTTCAATATATTAAGGGGGTACAAATGTCTTTGTTATATGAATCACTTTTGTCATGCTTGAGTGGTGGCTGTAAGTGTGCCCATCACTTGAATGGTGTTCATCGTACCAGTTCAGTAGGTTTCTGCATCTTCCATCCTCCCTCCTCCCCCTGCCTGATTTCCAAGGAGTTTTACGGCCCTCTGTGCCCCTGTGGGCTCACTGCTTGGTTCTTATTTAACAGCGAGCACACGTGGGGTTTGTTTTTCTGACCTTGAGATACTTCACTGAAGATAATGGTCTCTAGTTCCATCCAAACTGTTGCAAAAGAGACTAATTCATCCTTTTTTATAGCTGAGTAATACTCTATGGTATACATATATCTCTGTCTTAATAAT